ATATTTGAGAAATATATAGGGGCTTGATAGCGATTAAGAATGCTGTTAATAGCATATGTAGGTTTGCTGACAAGAGTCTCACACCTCTTCTCAGAAGCTTGTTGGATTTGTTGACGGAGAAGAAAAGAGTTTTCTGTATGGTATGCTTGATACAATTGGTACTATATATCCTTAGCATGAATTATCTATTCTAGAATTTGAGCAGAATCTGAACTTAAAAGAGTTTGAAGATTGCATTGAGATCATGAATTAATATCCTGAATTTGTAAATTGACTAGAAAGATATCTGGTGTTGTATTAGTATTTTTTAAATTTTTAATTAAATGGCCAAGTTTTTTAAAAGACAAGTATAGTTGTATGCTATGAGGTGTGTATTTGTGATTATAGCTACGTTTACAGCTAATTTTATTTAGAATAGTTGATATAGCAGCACTTTATAATAGAATATTCAATCTTATACTATATAGTATCTATAGTTTCAGAGATTTGTAGTGATAATAGTATTTGATATTGATTGAGTTTTGTTGTGAGAAGATCTAAAAACTCAGACCAATTTTTTGAGATCATATCTTTATAATTAAATATACAATGGCTAATACCTGTATACAAATGAGAAGGTTTGCTATAGGTATTAGGAAATATCCAAGATGAATTAAATATAAGATGATCACTGCGAATACTAGTATCACTGGTATCTAGTTTATATGACAAGAGGAACTGGATATTAAACTGATCAGTCCATATATAATCAATTCTGCTAGAGTAAGTATTATTAGACCATGTATAGTGAGTATTATTGAAATGTGCACCAACGTCATACATGTTGGAATGGTATAGAAAATTTATAAGTCTATATTTTGCTGAAGAACTGAAGTTGAAGTCATGTATATTAAAATTTCCAAGAATAATAGGATGAAGATTATGTTGTAAAGCAGACTGAATCCAATTAATAACAGTAGTTTGAGTAGTAGTCTTTTTTGATATATCTGTAGAGGAAAGATAGACTGAGATAATGCAAAGCTTAATGTTGCTTTTAAAGAATAGATCAATAGCAACTGTACTACCGGGGTGGGTAAGACAATTGTGAATATATGGTTGGAGAAAGTTACGTATCATTATAGCAGCACCTTCTGCTGAGCTATCTGAGTTAGCCCAGAAGTATATAAAAAGATTATTATTATAAAAGGATAAGTTAGGTTTTTCTAAAATTTTTGTTTTAGTAATGCAAGCAATACTAATGTTATGATCAAGACAGTAATTTTGTCAGGTTTTTCTTTTAGTAGTTGTGTTAAAACTACAAACATTATGTGTTGCAATATTAAGATGCAAATTTCTAATATGGCTAGTCTGTTGGTTAGTGATATAGTTAATAGAGGTGTTGTTTGTAGGAACTGAAGATAGAGTAGGTGAGTTTAAGGCCTTATCACAGGGGTTTTGTAAAAATGAGAACAGTTCTGTGGGAATAGAGTTAGAATCATCTAAGCATATTTCATCGTTGAGTATATCATCTGTTCTGTTAGTAGGTGTTGGTGAGAATATATTAGTAATGTCCATAGATCTGTAAAAGTTAGTATAGGTAGAGGAATAAATAGATGTGTTTATTGTGATTTTAAGGTAATATCATAAGAGTCATATATAGATAGAATATAGTAATTAGAAAGCATTTCAAATTTATGAGGTAAATATATATGTGCTTTTGTTTTGTCACTATTAATAGTAATCAAGTTATAGCATGCAAGATGCTTAGCATCATTTTGTATTAGATGTTGTAGAAAGGAGTTGACAGTTTGTGGTTCTCTTAGTAAAGGGAGTTTGTAATAGGTAAGAAATTTGTTGTAGCATATTTCCAAGTCATAGAAGTCTGATGATGTTGATGATGACTTGGATGGATATTTTTCTAAAGGGTCGCTCACTGTTTTAGGCTTGGTTCTCACAGCTGCGAAAGATTCTATAGTCTTCCATGTACATTTGGTCTGACTGTTATTATCTTGGTTCTTTGCGTAAATATACAAATCTTTTTGTACTAGACTATAGTTTAATTTTAATAATTTTATAACTATTAGAACTAGAAAACCTAATAAACAACTTTTATTAAGACCAAAAAGATGGTTTACTTAATAACAATACCTCTTTCAGAGTATCTTTTTATATATAGAAGGTGAGATTAGCAATAATGAAAGATAGAAATAGCAACACTCTAAATTATATATATTTAAATTAATTATTAATTTAAAAATATTAATAAAAATATTTTTTTTATAAACTAAATTTTAAATTATATATATATAATCTGTATTACAAAAAGAAAATAATAATTTTTTGCATATATGATCCAATATTTAAATAATAGATTATGTTATATTATATCAAATTTGAAAGTTATTATTGGCTAATTTAACTATAGATCATCATATAATCAATTCTTTCTCTTTAATATTTGTATAATATATACTATTATACTTTCTTTATCTATTATTATTACCGTACCATACTGATTAAAATACCCAGGGTCTAAAACAAAATATCCAATCAAAACTTTATAAAATATCTAGGGGTATCTTGACCAATAACGGGTATTTTGTATAGTAGGGTATTTTGTAAAGGAGGTATTTTGTGTTGAAAATATAATACATAGAGAATTTTATTATTACATATAATCTTGTATTTGCAAGACAAATTACTTAGACATTCGCAAAACAAGAATTTTAAATAATATACCCCAATTATAAAAGAAAGTAATGTGATCTTGGATATACAGATCTTGTCTATTCTTTTTTAAAAATTAAATAGAAGGTAAAATTTAAAGTATTTTTAATAGAAGTACTTTAATAAAATAGTAATACATATTTAAGAACGTTTAGCAGGAAATTAATTTAAAAAAAAACTCAACAGAAGCAGCAATAACAAGAAAGAGCTGCAAAGACAGAAGTAGCAACAAGAGCTACAAGGCAACGGCAGTAGCAACAAGAGCTACAAGGGCAACGGCAGTAGCAACAAGAGCTACAAGGGTAATGGTAGTAGCAACAAGAGCTACAAGGACAACAGCAGCAACAAAAGCTACAACAACAGTGGCAATACAAAGATCTGTAAGGATAACAGATATATAAACCAGCAAGAACTACAAGTAACTCCCATTATAATAGTTGGTGCTTGAACTTTTAAAACTTAGAAAAAATTTACTAGACGGCTCATTGTATGTAATTTGTCATGATTAAGGGTTGATCACAAAATAGATAACAAAAACTGAACCTAGTTTTTGTTATCTATTTTGTTGAAATATCCAAATTAATTTCACATTTAATAAAAGCATATATTAAAAGTTAGATTGTATTCTAAATTTAAGGCATTCATATCTTGGATTATTACTCTTTACTACATTAAGTGTGGTTGTCAAAAATAATTTGTATGAAGATAATTGCACACAAGTAAGATTTATAAACAGAATAATTTTTTTTTTTTTTAAAAAAAAAAATAATAACTGATTTAGGCCATGCAAAATTAATTAATTGGTTTTCATAACCTGGCCAGGTCAAAATTTGAAATCTTGTAAAAAAAATTTTTTATATGTTTTAATAACCGGGTAGGCTTTTTAAAAAATTTTAAAAAAATTTTATAAAATTTTTATATATGAAATTTAAAAAAAAAAAAAGCCGGCCGGCCGGGTCTGTTTGAAAGTTTCATGTTATGAAAACCAAGATATTAAATTTGTGTGGCCTTATTAAAAAAAAAAAAAATATTCATTATAGGTTTAACTGTAGATACCAAAAATTTTTATTATATTAAGAATCAAAATGGTCTGTGGAAATTTTAAAGCTCATTGTGCCCAAGTAACAAAAAAAAAAAAATGATAGTGGTCAGTATGTAAAAAATTAATGATTATAACTTACTATGAACAAGGGCATAGCAAGCGTTCAACAGCTAATAAATTCGAAATAGAACTGAAACAACTTAGAGAATGAATTAGTAAAAAACTAGTGCTTATAAAAGTTGCACTGTATATTCAAAAGCTAGCACCTGGCACTAAACCTAAGTACCCTGAGCTTGAAGCCGAGTTATTTGAATGGTTTTACCAGGCCTGATTCTAGCAAAAACCGTCAGTCGCTATATGATTCAAGCAAAAGCTCATTCTCTTGCTGCCATTTCTAGCTACCAAAACTAGTTTCATAGAATTAAAAATCATAAATTTTCCCAAAAATGGGTAGATAGATTTATACTGCGGTATAATTTGGTTAACCATAGGCATACTACTACCGCTCAACATTTTTCTAAAACTTATAATAAAGAACAAAGCAAATTTTTATCCTTTATACTTTACAAACGTCATAGTTATGATTATCCTTTATCTTTAATTTGCAATATAGATGAAATTGCTGTATCTTTTAATATGACAAATACCACTACAATTGAAGAAAAAGGATCCAAAACTATATCAATTGCATCAACTGGGCATGAACGTTCAATATTTACTGTTGTTTTAGCTTGTTTAGCTAATAGTACAAAGCTCCTGTTTCTAATTATTTTTAAACTAGTTAAGGTGTTTTATAAAGAATTTCCTGATGATGTTATTGTACATGCGAACTCTTCAGAATAGATAAATGAAGATGAAATGGTATGGTGGGTAGAAACCATTTGGACTTGACGAGCACAACGTGGTAATAATTCACGTTCTCTTTTCATTATAGATGTATTTGCTAGTCACACAACAGATCGTGTGAAATGATGTTTTCAAAAAAAAAATACTAATCTTGCAATAATTCCTCGTAGTTTAACATCCTGCCTATAACCACTTGATGTCTCTATAAACAAGTCGTTTAAATCAAAGATAATTTTTAATTTATTATAATATTTTTGATCTTTATTAGAGATGCAGATATTTTTTAGATTAAGGGTAGCTATTTTCTTGTAATATATAAAAATTGGGTAGCTACCACATATAGCTATGCAGTATATTATTTAATGTCTGCATCTTTAATCTTAATTTTTTTTTTTTTTTTTATATAAATAGGTTCGTCACTTATATAACCAATAGTTTAATAAGAATATCAAGGAATTTACACGTTCACGTAAAATGAAATGTTCATCTTACGGTTTAGTTGCAAGTTGGATTAATGAAGCTTGGAAATCTGTTGACCTCAACCTGATTAGAAAATTATTTAAATATTGTGGGATTTCGAATGTGGTGGATAGAACTAAAGATGATTTAATCTTTGACTTCTCTTAAATTGATAATCAAATAAATCCAGGAAGAGGAATTGAAGATCAAGCTGAAACAGCTAGTGATAATAAAGAAAGAGATGGTGAAGAAGACGACAATGAAGACAATGAAGAAGAAGACAGTGAAGATAATAAAAAAGGAGACAGTGAAGATAATGAAGCAGTCAATTATAATGATGATAATAATAATACACATAAAGGCCCTTTTGTATATATTGATTATTATAGAAAAATGAGAACTCCAATATTATTCAAGATTGGAATTAGTCACCACAATACATTTGGACGATAGATATTTAATAAATATTAGTAAATAATTTTTATTTAAAGAGAAAGTGAGCCATCAGGCTTTCAAGTTTACCATTTATTATTTAACAAATTCAGCTCTTAAAAACTTATAGTAATAGGAGGTTTCAAAATTAACAAATAAGTAATGTATTTCAAAAATAAATCAATAGCACTTTTATTATATTGAATTATTAATCAGAAAAATAAGATTTTCTGATTTTAATTTTGAAACCCCCTAATATATATGATACAAAGTCATGTTTTGATATGTTGCCAATTAGATTTTTTATAGGCTAAATCTTGTAAATAATAGATGATAAACCTAAAAGCCTGATATCTTATTTTCTTCTGGCAGCATTTATCCAAAATATTATTTCTAGAGTTTTGCATGCACTAAGCACTACACTATGTCTTCATAGCACCCTGTCTAGTACTTGTAGAATCCTAATTAGGTTACATGTGTTAACTCTTTATTCTATTTATTACTTAGTATAATGCCGTAAGATTCATATTGTAATATCTTATCAGCTCAAGGTCAAATAATAAATTTTAGTAAAGTTGTGCAGGTACTTCAGAAGAATAGTTTAAAAAGGCTATTTCTGATAGACACATTAATTATCTTAGATATAATAAGTTTACAAACTCTATCATGATCCATATTGGATATTTTGAAATGCTTCAAATGCGAAGCGTGTTTTCTTTTTTAATAAAAATGAATGTTGATGTTAGTCAAACATCCACTATTGTATAGAAAACTGCTTTAATAATTTATATATTGTGTAAAAGCGAATATATATGTTACTTATATTACAATTTCGATTAAAGCCACAAATTACAAACCTTCAATCCCAAGCATATTTTGTACTTAATCAAAGTATGTTATCTAAAGTACCCAGGTCTTAAACATAATTCATCGTTGAAAATTTATAAAATACCCAGATATTATATGTGGTAAAAAATTTTATGCTATATAAAATACCTGTGTATCTTATATGGGGAGTACAATAAATTGGAGATCTCTTAATCAGTACAGTATGGTAACTATTTATTACTTACTATAACTAACTTTTACTTACTGTTACTAATTATTATTTACTATTACTAACCTTTTTAAACTACTGTATTAAAACAGTTTATTTATATAATAGTTAACCAAATTAATCTATTAATTTATAAATTAAAATATACTATATTGTTTGAAATTGAAACAACATTAGAAGTGATAATAAAAGAAATGCTAAAAATGATATTGAAAGTGTTGCTACAAGAGATATTAAAAGTGATGCTGTAAGAGATATTGAAAGTAATCCTAATAGTAATACTAAAAGTGATATTGAAGAAAACATTAAAAAAGATACTACAAAGTTATTTACTGAAAAAGTTTTTGAGAATTAAGAGCAATGTAATACATTTGTAAATAAGTAGTGAAAAAGTAAAGAATTTAATGTTGTTAAAGATCATATTTGTAGAAAAGAAAGATTAGTCAAAAGAAGAATTTATATTTGTTAATACAGACAAAATTATGAATCAATCTTTAAGAAAGAAACTAGTATTAAAAAAATTTTATATAGGAGGAGTCAGTAAAAATGGGACAAATTTTTTCTAAGTAAAAGTTTTTTTAACTTTAAGTTTAAATATCTTGTCAACTATCTTATTAAATCTAATAATTTTTTTTATTTTAATTCTAGACAATTCTAAGATTAAAATAAAAAAAAAATTTATCAAAATTGGTTAAATAGTTGTTAAGAAATTGTAATTTAAAAATTAAAAAAATTTCACTAAAAATGATTTGTTCTATTTCTATTGACTCCCCTTATATGCCTCTTGTTCTAAAGTAAAAAACCCAAACTCATCTATTTTTATTAATACTATTGTAGATAAATATAATTACTAGCTTAGTGTTGATACTATTGTATTTGTATGTAAGAAAAGATTTAGCAAAGAAATGTTAGAAGACATCAAGTTCTTAACACAATATTGTAAAATAGAGTCAATAGTACAAAAAAAATATTTAGAAAACAAATATCCACTTCAACCAATATTTAGCAAAGACTTGTATAGTACAATTCAAAAGTATCATCTTATAGCAAAATCACTTTCTAATGATGCTGCACAAATATCAAACTAGTTAGATATGCAGAAAGAAAAAGATATTAGATAGAGAACCCCAAACATATAATACAAGGGTCATATATTATGCATTTCAGTAAAAACACCCAAAATTTAGAAATTAAAAAATTAGTTTTTTGCAATTATCTTAGCATCTAGTAGTCCAATTTGGATAAACTTTTTTATAAATGAAAGCTCTCAGTAAGACACATCTAACAAAAAAAAGTTTATTCAATTCTGATTACTGGATCAAAAGTTATTTAAGAAAATATAGTTTTCTAGTTTTTAGCAAATTCAGTCAAATTTGGCCAAAACTCAGTTATGACCTATATCAAAGATGTCTGGGGTCCTCTAGATAGATTATAGCAAAAGAATGTGATAATAACAATGTGTTTATATATTTATTGTAGATAATATCAGAACAAGTAGAAAATTGAATCAAATTTAGTGACTATGTGATTATAATAATGATATTATATATAAAACAAATCAGTACAGAATGGCTTTGTTACTTTTTGTTAGATTTGATCGAAATAAATAGAATATTCTGCTAGCATAGGGCTTACTTGTAAATGAAAGTTTGGATTCTCATACTTGGATATTTAGACAAATTATAATACTACTAATATACAACCAACTATGATTCTAATTGATTCTGATCTGGCAGTTGATGCTATAGTAAAGAAGGTGTTTTAAACTACATATTCAATATATTGTATATTCCATATCATCCAAAATATTTACAAAAATCTTCATAAACAACTTGGGGATCATTATAATAAATTTCTTGATAATTTTTATTATTGTAGAAATAGTCTCATTCAAACAATATTCTACAAATATTTTATTAAACTTTTGGAAGATTATTCTAAGAGTAAAAGCTATTTAGAAATTCTTTATAAATCTAAAGAGTATTAGGTACACACTTATACATTTTTCAAATTTATAGCAGAAATGATTTCTATATCTCGAGTTGAAGCTATAAATGCTAGTCTTAAAAAATTACTTTACAATTCTAATATTTCTCTTTGTAATCTTATATTTGAAATATACAGATTACTTAATAACAAGACAAACACAATCAGTATCAATATTGGAAGCTTGCTATCTTTTCACTTAGAAATATTAAATACATAAATTTCTTATTTACAAAAGTAAACAAATATTGTCAAAGCTTTTTAATACCAGTAATACTAAATATACAATATGATGAAATCAATCAATCTCTTTATTATATTGTATATTTTGTTAATATGCAGGATATACAGTGGGGTACCATATTATTATAGACACTTTTTGAAAATTTATATTGACCTAAATAAACAAGATATAGAGCTAAAAATTATATAAAATATTATTCAAATC